TCAGCGTGGCCGTCAGGACGCGCAGCACGAGGCACAGCGACCCCAGCGACAGCAGCAGCACAACCGACCCGACCGTCACCGAGCGTGTGGCGAGGCCGACCACCAGACTCGCGCTGCATGAGAGCACCAGGCCCATCGTGCGAAGCGTCGACGTGACCAGCGCGTCGTTGAAGGCGGCCGCGTACACGCAGCGGCGGCACAGGCGCCATGTGCGCTGCGCCGCGTCCGTGTAGCTACAACCGTAAACGGCCACGTGCACGGAGGCGTACGTGTTGCAGTATCGGGTGAGGCCCTCGAAGAGCTCATGCAAGCCGGCAAGCATACAGTCGATGAACTCGCTGCCGGAGTCAAACATGACGCGGAGCAGACATCCCAGCGTGCCCACCGCCACATTCAGTAGCGCACCGACGCACACAGAACCGAAGCTCGTTGTCGTCGCATGCACCAATGACGTCCACGTGGGGGTCTGCGGCATGCTGTCCTCGCCGGCGAAGTACCACATTCCCACCACACCCGCCGTCGTGACGCATACCACGCCTGAGAGCACGTGTGCGAGCCAGCACAGGGCGAACACCGCGATGGGAGCGAAGATGCGGTCGTACATGGACAGTTGCCCGCCTAACAGCCGCGTCGTGACGGACTGAAATACCAGCAGACCCCATGAGGCGCACACCGCGAACATGAGAGCCATCATTAGGGCAACCACAAAGAGAGCGGAATGCTTCTGCGTCACATGCCCGGCGGCGGCCAGGAGCTTGGCAGCGAAGGCGATGCGGCTGCGCACGCAAAAGAGCCACAACAGCTGACCGAACCCCAACATTGTCAACCCAATAGTGGCGGGCAGCATTCCACGCGTAAACGTCGCTGCTGCAGACGCCAGCACGAGCAGAGACGCCACAACAAGGCTGCAGACGATGAGTTCGCGCGCCGCCAGCTGCAGTAGCGTGAGCAGCCCCGCTGTGCACACCACAAGACACAGGATGCTCATGCCCACGCCAAGCACGACATCCGACGTCTGGAGGCGGCCGAAGTTGGCTTTGGTTGCAGAGACGACAAACGGCCAGAGCGTGCAGGGCAGTGTAGTACTCTGTAAACTTGCTGTACCCCACATCGTACTCACGCCAATGACTCCGACAAACGCCACTGTTGCCCAGAAGTCATGACAATCTTGCTGCTTAAACCGCTTTGTAGCACTGTACTCATCACTGCACACTGCCTTGCCAGGCAAGTCTTGGTCGACGATATCCTTTTCACTGAATACGGCCTGACCAACCACCACCAAGTGCCCGTCTTCATTGCTCAATTGACACTCGTTCTTCACTGAACTCATCGGCAAAACACGAACTGTTTAAGAAAAAAAAAAAGAACTACGATGAGGAAACGGGAAGTAAAAAAAAATAACAAACATGAAGTGAAGAAGGCCTCTGCAAACAACACACCACTCCCCCCCTGCAGCGCAGCATTACTGTCACCATCACCACCACTTTATTATCACGCACCATTCCTCCCTCGCTCAGTGGAGGGAGAGGCGGGATCACTATCATCTATTTGGTGAAAGTGCGACCAGAGAGAACTGCTGTTCTTCAACCGCCAACTTGATTCCGCTGCACATATGTACACGTCAAAAAAANAAAAAAAGAGAAATAAAGATAATAAATGATTGCATTATCGTCGCGCTATTTCCATGTTGTTGCAGCCTCGGCACACCTCTTCACACACGGCGTCGGCACACTTCCGCACGCCCCCATCGCGTCTTTTCCCAGACGCTGAGGGATACAGGTACTGGCAAACGTACATTTTCTGGTAGCACCACTCCGCAGACTCTAGAAACGATGTTGTTGCTCTGCAGTAGAGCGGCTCAGGCGACGGCACTCCGGAGATACTCTGCTGCTGCCGCCGTATGAGGCGCCGCTCGTACTGCTGGGCGTAACCCAGAACGGCACGACTTCTCTTCGTCGGCGGAGTCTCTGGAGTTCGCTGGAGGACCTTATTGGACGCATGCCACGAAGGAGNAGAACGGCACGACTTCTCTTCGTCGGCGGAGTCTCTGGAGTTCGCTGGAGGACCTTATTGGACGCATGCCACGAAGGAGTGTCCACCAACAGCGTCTTTTCATCAGCACCGAACGTGGACGCCATGTGTTGGCCTCGCCGTGACAGGGCAGCTCGTTCCATTGCCCTTGGCCCCGCCCTCCTGCCGATGTTGCTGCCATTGTTGTTAGTACCGAATTTACTACAGGAGGCCTGTCGCGTCAGCATCGGTGCCCATGGACGATCGCGGAGGTGCGGCGGTGTGCCGTGCTCGCCGTCCGTCATGTCGACGCACCACGCAGTGGCGGACCGTTGCGTTGTCCCCAAAGCCTCAGCGACAGGCGGCGGATCATCTATCCGCGGTGCGACATTCTCCTTGTCGTCTCCCATCGCGTCATCGGCAGCGCTCCACCTTGGCGTTTCCTCAGCAGCATGACCAGTGGGGAGTGTGCCTCCAGTGTACGCCTCCACTTCTTCATCCCCCTCCTCTTTGTTCTTCGCCATTTCCTTTGTTGCTGCTGCTGCCTCTTCCACGGCGATGGCGGGTGACGATAGGCGCCACACTAGGGCGCGGTAACAGCTCAGCTCTCCCCACCGTCGCTCGTTGCGCTCCAGGAGCTCATGCCGCTCCACATGCCGCCGGTGCCGCGCCTCTGCACGCAGAAGATCACGGGCAGCGGTGCCCTGCAGCGGCCTGTCACTGCTCCAATCCATGTCAAACGTATCGAGGCCCCACTGTGGTGAGGCCATACGCCACTCATCGTCGTTTGTCGAGCTGTCGCGTAGGTGGACGTGTGCATCGCCGGAGACACCCACATCGCGCTGCCCACGCGGACGTTTCCCCTGCAGGAGCTTTCCCTCACCAGAGGCAATTCCTGCACGTGCCCATTTGTCCTCTCGTGGGCTCTGTGCGTCCTCCTCGTTCTCTTCATCGACGAGGCTTAGCTTGGAAGAGGCAGGCGATGCACACCGCGGACCTGGTCCCGGTGGGCCCAAGGAGTCGCGCGGACGGGACTGGGGCTCTTCTACAGTTCCAGCAGTGTGGTGACGTGCCGCCTCTTCTTCAAGGCCAATCTTGTGTAGGTCACAACGTGATGGCACAGCACAGCTTGGCAAAGTGGGCCGCGTATTGTCGTCCACCAGCCGAATGGTAGAACCATCTTCCTCACCAGCGGCAGCACCTGCTAATGGTGCTTGGGACAGGCCATCACCCGCCTGTGAAGAGACATGACGTGCCACCGGTGTCTGCGCACCCCTGCTGTATCTTGGAGAGGCAATGCTGCAAGCGGCAGTCATCTCTTCCCCATCTTCTGCTTCTGCTACGAGATTCGTCTGCACGCCGACAGCTTCACATGACATGTCCCCACCGGTCTGCGTTCCTTCGGACTGGAGGTAAAGTTGCTGCCACTGGCTATTCACATGGCGTGAGCCGTCGGCACAGGCAGTCATACGTTCGTCGTCATTCTGCTTCTGCACAACGGAGTGCGCTGTGCCCGAAAACACTCCGTCTGTTTGGGTGGCACGCACTTTTCGTTGGTGCTCGGGTGTTTGGACCGCTCTATCCATCGTCTGCCTCGCACATTCAGCGAGCGCAGCTGGAGCTAAAGGGGGAACTGTCGGGGGAGCCGTCGCCGCCTCCGCTGTGACAGGGCGCGCGGCAAATTCCCCTGCCAGCCGCGCCGCCTCGCGCTCAGCCGCTGCCCAGGCGTCACGGTCCATTGCCTCCAGCAGGTCGGTGAGCCGCTCATCCTCCTTCTGCTCCACGGCATCTCGAAGAGCCTCCTCCTCTTCATACAGACGCTCAAATCCCCGTTGCATGCGCGCTGAGTTGCGACCGATGTCAACAGTGGCTTCGGAGTGTGCCGTCTCGAGCAGTTGGGTGAGGTGCCTCCCCTCTAGTTGGCCCCACATCTCCCGTCGACCCTTGCTATCTTCCTTTGGTCGCTGGGGTTCACCACGTGCACGTGCTTCCCCCCTCTCCACAGCAACGACGGTCTCACTCTGAATTAGTTTCGCCACATCGGTGGCCTGCAGGGCTTCTCCGTGGGATATGATATCCCGATTTGTCTCTTCGTTCGCGGCGGCATAGAGCTGCGCCCCGTGTCTGGCACTATCCGCGGCCCGGGACGCTTCCCACTGCTGTTCCCCCTCGCTTCCTTCCTCTATTGAGTCACTACTATCGCTTGACGTCGTGAGTTTTTCTCTTTCCTCTTCAACTGATTCAGCAACCGCCCCACATCGGCTTTTGCTGCCGGCAAAGCCTCTCCGACCCCGCCGTACCACGGCGCAAGTCAAGGCACCGTGACACTTCTCGTAGTGCGATGCGAGGAGGTGGTACGCCGCCTGACGCCACTGCTGCCACCGCGTCGCAATCTCGGCAGCCGGAGAGTTCTCCATCGACGAGAAGGAAAAGAGTGTCAGCGAGGTCAGCGAGGAGGAGACGGTCGATGCCACCGCAGACTGCCTTCCCCGCATAGGCGACGGCGAGCGCGAAGGAATGGACGAGGTAGAGGAAGCTTCAAGCGTCGATGAACTGGAGCTCAGTAAAGAGGTGGATGAGCTAGACAAAAGATCCATCTTGTGTTTGATGTCGGGCTTCCTTCGACGACGCAGGACGACAGGCATCCTTGCCGTGCTGTGCACCTTGACATCGCCAGTCCTCCCTCGTGCATGTGAGGGATGCACCTGGGCTAGCGGAGCGGACGATGTTGTGGAGCGGCCCTGCCACATACGCGGGTCAAGCGGCCTACTGCTCTCCCTTCTGGCGGTGGGCGGCGATGGCGGAAGTTTTACCGCCACCGACGCTGCTGATGCCGTCATTCTTCTGTTGCTATCGCCCAGCACGGACGATGATGAGTGCTGCTGCGCATCATCGCTGCGGTGCGCAACTGGGGGAATGCCGAGTGTGACCGAGCTGCTGGTGTGCGAGGGGCGCCTCGCCGAATGCCGTCGCACCTGCCCGAGGCACTGCTCGATACCGGTGAGGTGACGATCCGTCTTCGCCACGGAGGCGCCGATCCGATCCATCAAAAAACGGCAACAGCAGCCACAGGTGACCTAACGCGACCACCCCCAATTTTTTTCTCCCTTCCTTCGTTCCTTTGGCCGCTCTGTCGCCTGCTGCTGGCAAGGGATCTTGAGTGGAGAAGAAAAAAAAGGAGGGGCGAGACAACATCGAGGAGCGACAACGCAGCGAACAGCAAAAAAAAAAAACGTGAACCGCGCCACAGCAGGACAGCCATGAGGCTACCGACCACAAAAACACCCAAAAGGATGCGTCAGATGAGGCGGATTCCATTCACCCAGGACAGGACTCATTACTGCTACTGCAGCGGCTGTTGTTATTTTGTGAGACTGTATCCCGTTCTGGACGCCTGTATATATCCAACCGTGAAAAGCGGAGGCTGTGCAACAAACAACAAAACCCTCAGGTGACGGTGGGTTCCCACCTGCAACGGCGACGACTTCCCTCGCAGGGCTTTCCTCCCCGCTGCTCTTTGCAGCACTTGTAGATATCCATTCATCTACAGCCTGTCACCTCGGCGAGACTTCAACCTTTCACCCATGCACGGAAGACCTACACATGTCTCACCCCTCCCCACCACCACTATCACCACCGAGGCGGCCAAACACACAATGACGGGCTACGGTGACAAAAGGCGAGCAGCCCAACGATTATAGGCGGGGAGCGACAGCACCAAACTCCGCCGTGTGGGCGGAGGCAAGATGACCATCACTGCTTCTCCGCACCTAACGGGGTCCAAGAGGAGAGAGGAGTCGCGTTTATAGGCGAGGCACAGGGTTAGAAGCAGGAAGAGACAGAGTTACTGAAAGCGCGTTGCCGCCCGCTCTTTAGCACCCGACCGCACAGAGGCAACCGGTAAAGTCACTCCTTCGTTCACCTCTCCTCTTTCTCTCTCTCTCTCTCTCTCTCTCTCTGTGTGTGTGTGTGCGTGTGTGTCGCATTTAGTCACCGCAGACCTTTTTCTATGCTTCGGAGCCTCGCGAGAATTTCTTTAACGTTGTGCTCCTCCAGCTGCAAGGTTTCCACCTCGTCCATGGCCGCCTCGAGCTCCGCAAGCCTCTCTGCTGTCAAGGCAGGGGACTGCGGAGGCCCGCGGCGCGCTGCGTGCACGCCCTTGCCGCTATCGCTGTCGGTGTCATCTTCGAATGAACTGCTGGAGGTCCTACGACGTTTCCTGTGCTTTCTCATCTTCGAGGCCTTGGCGGCCGGTGGTTTACGAGGCTTGTGACCCCGACCACCCCGTCGCGGCGGCGTTGCACTGTCGCTGCTGCTGCTGCTATCGGTCGTAGTGGTACTACTACTACTACTACTGCTGCTGCTGTCGTCTGCCGTGCCGCCAGAAGAGGAGGAGGAGGCAGAGGGTGAGCGTACGCGATACCGCCGTCCCACTTGCCGACGCTTGGGTTTTCCTCTCTCCTTTGCCTTGGAAACGTATGCCTGAAGAAGTGTTTGCCTGTCACCCTCCGATTCGTCCACCTCAGGCGGCACCGCCTCATCCACAGTCTCGTGGGTTTCTTTCTTTTGTCCGCGTCTTGCCACTTTTTTCACGTCACCCCCTTGTTCATTACGCGTGCTCTTTTGTCCACGCCGCTTTGTCTGTGGTTGCTGTTGGTGCAGCTGCTTCTCCGCCTCCTCTTTCGCCTTCTTTTTGGACACCGCGCACTTTCGACCAATAAAGGAACAGTTCCAGTACTCCGGGGACGGTTCCAGCTTCTCCGGCAATTTACACCACTTGTCGCAGCGGTCGCAGCGGATCCAGTGAATCACCTCTTCGTATTGCTCCTGTTTCTGCTCATCCGCTGCCGCAGCCTTCTTCTTTCTCTCTTTCTTACTTAGCCGAAGCGTGGGGAGCGGTGCTGCATCTCTCTCAGAGGGAGTATTGTTGCGCCGCAGTCGCAAGATTGGACGCGTCGGGCCGCCGACTTCTGCCTTCGGTTCCATCGCCGTCTCGTCTCGTGCTTCCAGCCGACG